TCTGACTTATTTACACATTCCAACAGATTAATATGAAGCTAAATCTGATTATCGGGCAAAAAAAAAGCCACATTCAAGTGAAAGTCTACTCGTAAAGAGCTACAACCGACAGAGTCCTGCTTCAGAGCAGAGTTAACTTCAGAAGCAGCAGATGGAGCGATGATGTTCCACGTTGCCATGAAAGCAACCAAACACAATCATAATAATAAACCGATTGCGTAACAGGAGCGCTGCACAACCCTCACGTCTACTTGACTTGTTTTTGATCACCAGGCACCTTTTTTTCTTTCACAGAGAAAGAGGCGGCCACATTCAGCGAGCTGCTGCTATTTCTGAATCCCCCGGCCCACGCTCATTAAAAAAACAGAGCGCGCTAAAACAGATGCTGGACCGATTCATGTAAATTCATGTCGGCAGCTAAATATATATTCAGCTGAAGGGGTCAGAAAATAAAAATGGGCTTGTGTTCGGGTAAATAAAGCACCGTGATGCGCTTTTAGCTCCCGCCGGCTCCGGTTCGGAGGCTCATCTATTTATTTATTTAGCGGCTTTAATTCAACGTAGCGGTTTGGAGCTAGCCGGGACGCTAACGGGCCGCCGGTCTGTTGACGTAAGCGCTCGGCAGACTTCATTAGCTCGACCGCAGGAGGTCTGCTGATGCTCGTTAGGACGGAGGTGAGGGACCTCGGCGCCGTTATCCATCTCTAATGAACATGTCACTGATTCTGCTGCTGCAATAATGACATCTCCGTGTGAAATGAGGCCCGGCACAATGAGTCTGTTCGGATTATTTAACCGTTCAGCAGCCTGATGAAGCTCATTAGCGTCACTGAAACCAGTCAAACGCGACGACACACGTGGAATTTATTCCCAGGTATCGGTGTCGCTCCTACGGTTGATTTAATATAGAAGAGATTAGAGATACGTTATTGATCGTCATAAGTACAGCGAGCAGGAAGACACCATGATAGAAAAATATAATATAAATACAGAAAAACACACAAAATGCACAATAATGTGTTAAACATATAGAAAATCTAAATATTAGCAGAACTACCTCATAAACAAGCTCCACATAAATGAAACAAGATGAGTAATATACATAAAATCGCTTTAAATAGTAGAACAATGCAGCTTCTATGGTTCTGCAGTCGGTTATTAGCACTAATGGGAGTGTTATTAATAATATTGATATTACAGTGATATTAGCAGAGCTCCAAGCAGCCATTTCTGGGTGTTTTTTCTTCACTGTGGCTTCATTTTTCACTGCGACATGAAGTCCTGCAGCTCCGACAGGGAACTCTGGAATGTTTTCTGTGCCGTTAAAGTGATTTAATCGTAAAAATACAGCTGATTTTCCTTCGTTATTTACTTTACAATAGTTTAAAAACACAGGACTCAACATTTTTGTGTTTAACACTAAAAGAAAGAGAAAAAAAACTCCATGTACTACACGTTTTACTGTTTGCACCTTAAATCTGTTTCCGTACTCTGTGTAGACACACCGCCTGCAGTTCAGCCGAAAGGTCCCACAAGTTCTGTTTTGATCGCTACAGATTTTTAATATTAAAAAAAAAAAAAAAATACAAAATCTGGTGACTGAAAAGCAGTTTGTTCCTGTTTAAAAAGTAGCTAAAAAATAATTGTGTTTTTGAAGAAACAAAACAAAATTTAATTTAACTTCATGATGATTCTGGTTTTATATTTTCTGGCTGACAAAGGGAGTTATTTTTTAAAAAACAAGCCTTTCAAACCCACCGGTGGGACTTTTACTGTATTTTGCATTTGGTCAGAGGCTGAATGGATGAAACGGAGCCAATGCTTTAATTTCTGAATCCACATTTTAGAATTTGTAGGTTTTTGCAGCTGAGGCACGATTTAGAGTCACGACTACGACGCAATCAGTGCATTTTTTAGCAGGACGTGGACGTGATCTGCATCCGACCACGAGGAGTGATTCTCGTTATGTAATCTACAGTACGTGAGCCGTTCCTTCCTCCTGCTCGTCGCTGTGCTGGTTTCTTGTGAATGGCTTCCTCCTCTGCGTGTGTTCGTGTCTTTGTTGTGCCAGAAGCAGCAGGAAACGCATTTTGTTTTGCTGTTAAGAGCCTCTTTACGCTGATTTCGGTCACCGGGAATCCGCCCACCTCTGAGCTGTTCTCGCCGAGCGTCACGCTGCAGAAGAAGAAGAAGTAAACGGAGCTGCAGCTCGGTGTTTACCGGAGGACTCTCGGTGTTTGCAGGAGGTCAGCGACCCTGATATTTGCAGCTCCGTCGAGGCCGCAGGAGCTCTTTTGCCGTCTCGAGGGCTGTTTGCGCGGCACTAACAGAGGAGCAGTGAGTTCTGTCCGACACTCAGCGCTGGTCGGAGGCCATTAGCGGCAGCTCTGGACTCCGGCGGCAGCACCGAGCCCGGCTAATGGCTTATTTGTGTTTCTTTAAAAGATCCTCACAGAAGCCCTGAGGGAAGCTCATGGCACATGCGTCACCGAGTGCACAGCTGAAGCGCCACTGATACGTGCACGCCAAATAAAATGAACAGATTTCGGTGTATGAATCACAATACGTTCAGGTTCCTAATGCACTTTGGGTTTTACGGCGTCTCTGAAGTGTCGGACCAAGACTCTCTGACCTGCTGACCACAGACTGAGAGCATTAATAATTCAGCAGCTCGATCTCTGCAGCCGGAGCTATAAAAACACACTCACACACACGCTGAGACCAACAACAACAAATTGCTCCTGAATCCCCCGGAGTCACTTCAAGCCAGTTCCGATGCTATCGAGTGGAAAGCAAAGGAAATGCAGAAAGCTGAAAGCTCGCTTGCCTCCACTTTGTCACATGAATGAGCGGCTGAATAGCAGCGAGGCGCGGCGCGAGGGCCGGAGAAGCCGGAGAAGCCGGAGAAGCCGGAGAAGCCGGAGAAGCCGGCTCTCGGCTCACGTCTCTGTGTTTTCGGCCTCTCGGGAGCTGGCTCAGGTTAAAACGCAGCGCCGCGGTCGCCCGTCAGCCAGCTGCAGGAGCTCACATCAAAGAAAGCCACATCAACATCACAAACCTGCTCTCAGGAATAAAGAAAAGGACTCATTCTGACTGAGTCCAGCAGCAGCGTTTACAACCGACAGCAAAGACAGATAAGTCCAGCCTCATGAATGAATGTGCTGATGAAGGGAATCCGTCGCTCTGACGGTTTGTTTAACCTCCAGAACAGCAGAGAGACGGCACAAATCTGTCTGTTGAACATCAGCAGCCTTTCAGGACTAATCCATTAGTTCTGGCAGCAGAAGGAACAGATGCAACCACGAGGCATGTGGGGAACAGGAGGCATTACAATGACAGGCAAAGAAAGAACAGGAGAAGAGCAACATGGAGGCGAAGCAGAGGACAGACGGTTATAGGGCAGGACCTGTTTTCACCTAAAAGCTCCTGTTTGGTTAAAAAAACTAAAAGAAAACATTTTTATTTTGTTTGTTATCAGCTTAGAGGTGCAAAATGAAAGCTGTGAAGATATTTACTTCTAGTTAGACTAGTCAGTAAGAATTCAGCTCAGGTGCTACCTTACACCAAACTAACCAATAGTCTTCCAGCTCTGCGTAGCTCCGCCCCCTCACTGAACCAATCAGGATGAGCAGCTGCCTCTCAGTCCACCAGGTTTGTTTTCTTATTTGAGGCTTCTTCTAAACTTTAAAATGCCATGAATTAAACTCACCAAATGTTCTGCTGTCGGCTGCAAGAGTGAACACGAGAGTCTTTGTGCACTCAGATGTGTCCAAAATGACTCAAAAATAGTCAAAAATGAATGAAAAATGACTCACAAGTCGTCCAGCATGAATCAAATTGTGCTCAAAATAGCTTAAATGTGTCTACAATAACTTGCAAGTGTCCATAGTTAGTGAAAATGTGTTTGAAATGACTAAAATCTGTTCAAAAAACACGTCAGAGTCACGAGCAAAGACTCACCAAATGTTCTGCTGTCGGCTGCACGAGTCTTCATGCACTCAGACCTTTCAAAAATGACCTGAAATTTGTTCGTAACGACTCAAAACCAGCACAAAATTAATTAAAATGTGTTAAAATGACACGAAATTTGCCCAAATGATCAAAAATGACCTGATGACTAGATGCAAGTGTGAACATGTGCTCAAACTTCCCCAAAATGACTCGAGAACTGGTCTAGAACTATTCAAAACGTGTCCTAAACGAGTCAAAACGTGTCCAACTTGACCTGAAAATGTCTCGATCAAAACTCACCAAACGTTCTGCTGCAAGACTGAACACAAGAGTCTTCATGCACTGACAGCAAGAGTTTTCTTCCTGAAGGGGGCGGGGCCAGCAGCAGCTCATTGGTTTTCACAGCTAAACGTTTAGAACCAGGAGTTGTACCCTCACAGTAAAAGACGTGTGAGACTTTTATTAATTTGCTCAACAGGGACCTTTAAAGCTGCATTACCAGATGTTTTAGCACATTGTTTACACCAGCTGGTCGCTAACGGTGCTTGAGTTTATTACGACTCATAAAAGTGAAATAATCCGATGAAGCTGGCTAAAAGTTGACTTTGATTGGCTTCTAGTCTGCTGGTATCATTTCAGTAGGAAATGTCTGGGTTACCGTGATGCTGTATGTTTTAAATACTGGCTTTTTATGTCGATTTTGAATTAACTCAGACTCAGAAAAGAGTCGACATAATGTTAATCAACATATTTTAGACGCTTTATTTATCAGTCTGAATTCTTCCAGTGAACCATCAGAGGAACAAGCCGCCATCGCTGCTGAATTAAGTTTATTCCTTCATTTTTTTAACAACCTGAGTCGATCAAACTTCTTCCACAGAGATGAACTCGGGTGTGAAATTCGCTCCGACAGCTTCCTCCACCTTCCTCCACCTTTAGCAGCGCTAAGCGGCTCAGGATGTTTTCTGGTGTTAAATATACCCGTCAGGCTGAAGCAGGTTAAATCTGAGGCCACGACTTCCACGCGTGTCGGGTGGTCAGTCTTTTATCCTCGTAGTGTCCCGAACACAAAGATCTGAACAATCAGTCTCCCCGGATCTGATCAGAAGAAGCTTTTAGTGTGGAACCGGGTCAGAAACCTTTTCATCATCGTCTCTAGTATAAACTTAGACTTTCTACTGTGTCACGGACAGAATCAGCACCATGTCTCTTACATGGATTCAGCATTTCCACGTGTCCGTTTGAGGTAATTGGATAAAACATAAAATAAACGACTCTGTTGTTTAGAATCATTACTGTTTAAAAGATCAGATCAAAATCAGATTCATCAAGAACCAGTTTGCAGCTTGAGAGTCTTTCAGAGGCACGAAATGACAACGCAGGAATCATCAGAGCTTCATTATTATCATTTAGGAAGTAGATTCCTGATATTAGAAGGTTATTATCCCACAGAGTGAATCCTGTCTACAGATGGTTCTGGTAGGTTCTGGATGTAAAACGGTCCTTCCATCGTCTAGAACTGGTTCTGACCAACCACCATCACACATGCTGACATGAGCCTGGAAAGTTTACCCAGAATGCACTTTGTAAAGTTTTCTCTGGTGAATGATCAGAACCAGAACCACATCCAGGGTACCAGTGATTGTTTCTATGACTCTATGTCATAGACATTAAACTGATCTGGAGTCTGACTGGTACCACTATGACACATCCCATAATACTGATGCTACCAGCTGGTTGAACAATTTTCAGTTGCTCAAAGCAAAATGTGTCCAAAAATCACAAAAATATGCCAAAAATCGCTCAAAATTTGTTTAGAATGACACAAAATTGTCCAAAATGACTAAATTCTGCCTCAAATGAATCAACAATGACTCAAAAAGTTAAAACATGGTGCTGAACACAAACCAGGTCCAGTGTTCAGACTGAGACTCCTGGATGGATGTAGAACTGATCTGGTGTCAGGTTCTAGCAGAACCCAGATGTGTTCTTCCTCCTAAATGTCATGTGTCTATCTGCTGTACTGATGAAGTTCTGAGGCTCAGAAATGATGGAAGAAGTCCATTAAAGTGATCAATCTGGACCCTCCTCTGTGGACTTGAAGGACCTGGACCTCTGGAACATTCACAGTCTGAAGGTAGAACTCTGGTCCGTAGATGAAGGTGCTGCAGATACAGAACCAGCTGGTTCTGAGGAAGTTTGGGAGGAACTGGTTGATTTCCGTCGACCAAGTTTCCTTCGGTTCAGCTAAGTAGTGCAGCTTTATTCAGATGATTGATTCAAACTGACTGATGTGTGGTTGGCGGACGGTCTTTAGTTGGTCGTCCAGGTTTGTACCCAAAAGATGAAACGTTTCCTCACTGGATGGCCAACATGTCAACCGTCCACACACATCTCCAGGTAGACTTACGTCCTGAAGCCTTTCTTATTCCAGCTCTCGGCTCAGAGTTATTCGGTGGTTCTCTAAGCTTCAAACCGTCTGTAGTTGTTCATCAGTCATTTTGTCTGGACTTGGTTTCTGTCTGCAGCCTCCTAACTGCGCCTCCTTGTGTTGCAGTGGGTCGGACAGGGAGCGACGGTCAGCGGCAGCCAGGGAGGATCCACCAACTCCCTGAAGACCCCTCCATCACCGTGACCACACATCATCCACTCACGCTGAAGAGGCTCAGGGCGGTGGAAGGACGGACGGACGGCGGGCCCACGGAGGGTCCCAGCGTAGACGTGAAACCGGACTAACTAGAAGCTCCAACCGCTGCGTGGTTAGGCTGAGTTTTAGTGACCGTTGCCGAGGCTAACACCCACTTCCTACTTCCTCTCGTGTCTTCACAACCAAAACTAACTACATTCCAAGTGAACTACTGCGATACTTTCATTTGTCATACGGAGCTGTTTACTGACAGTATTAACAGGTTGAGATTATCTAACAGGCCAAGCTTCTCTTCTTCTTCTTCTTTTTATTGTTTTTTTTGTTTTGTTTTTGTGGACCAAAGTCGTTTATTTTTAGGCGAACGTGTGGAGTCGTAACCGTGCGAGTGATCAGCTTTCATAGACAAAACATTTGCTCGGTAGTTAGAAGCAAAGGCAGAGTTTTCCCTGCTCAGGACTCTTTTGGACATGTTTTGCGTTGAGCGTTCGATCTCGTCACGCGTTGGTTGGTTGTAACGGTTCGTGGTTTCACGTCAGGGTAAAGACGTAAACCGTGGAGGATTTGCTCCGAGAATGTTTAGAACAGCCGGCAGAGTGAACATTAAAGTGTTTTATTAAGTGCATGTTAAGCTGTCATACTTTGTTCACAGGGTGTGGTCAAAATAAAGGAAACACAAGCGGAAGAGTTGTCGTCGCTGGTTGTTCTGGTAAAAGGGCAGCCAGCAGAGGGAGTCTGCTGCTGCACTACAACTCGATAGTTTTTTTTTTTTTTTGTTTCGGACATCATTCGTATCAGTAATCATAAGATATTAGATTGTTTTTCCACTGCAGGAGCTCACAGAACACTTTAGGGTGAGCCGAGCCTTCGAGCATCTTCCGACCCAAAGAACCAAACTGGCAGAACCTGTTCGAGCTGATTTCATGGTTGAAAAAAGTTCCTCCTGTAGCATTGGTTCTTCTAAAAAAAACTGCCGTCCAGGTCTCGATGCCGATTGGTTGAACCCAGAGAGGACAGATGCTAACAAAACAAACCTCATTAGTTCTATGTCCTGCCTGCTTGTGTCTCAGAACCACATCTGTAGCCAAAACAACAACTTTATTAGCCATCAGAACGGGTAAGAGACCAGGTGGGGGCGGTACAAACCATCTCACCGACTTCGATGACACTTGGTCAGTTTGAAGGGGTCAATCCAAAACTACTTCAGTCTAAGTTTAAGGAAATTCGGTCAAACCCGGGGGGAGTTGGTCACCCCCTTGTTATTTTTTATAAAATGACCAAAAATCACCTAAAAATATTATCCAAACTCGCACTGTAGTTCACTTGTACAATAACAGAGGTCATTATTAAGCCGCCGATTCTTATTTTCATGGTCGAGGACAAACAAAAGCTTTTGAAATGGCTCTATTTCATTGAAGTTTATGGTGTGCAACCATTTTGCAGCATCTTCTGTCTGTTGCTGTGGCGTAACTACAGAATCAATGCGTTATAATGAAAACTGGAAACCTGTGGTGGAAGACGCGTTCGCAGTCCTCCCGTAGAATAATTCAGTCAGTGCCCAAAGATTTTGTTGCAGATAATGTTAGTATGAAGTCCCATCTTTTAGACGGTGTGCTTGGTTTTTGGAAGTATGCTCCGGCTTTGGAGATATTTTGGCCTAAATTTCAGGTATTTTAACAGTTTTCACTATCGGGTGAGAGAGGCGGTCTTGGCTGACATGATTTGTGTGATGGAACTAGTCGTAGAAGAACGAAATGTGGACAATAAATTGTCTTTGGGTCGGACAACATTCACTGAAAATATGAAAAGATTTGGTTGAATTCTTATAGCAGTAGAGCTTTATACTACTTTGTACTTAACTCCCACAGGTTTGACCAAATTTCCTTAAACTTAGACTGGAGTAGTTTTGGGTGGACGCCTTCAAACTGGCCAAGTTTCAGCACAATCGGTGAGATGGCTTCTGCCGCCCCCGCCTGGTCCTATCTTGGATGCACTTTTACTTCCACGTGCACATACAACTTCCCGCCTGGTTCAAGGACTACGGTCCTAATGGACTCCGGCGTATTTTAAACATTTACACTCTTGCAGGAAACCATTAGGTGTCACTGAAGTCTTTGTCATGGTGGCTAGCTAAACTCCCACAATGCTCTCTACAGCATTAAACAGTGAGAGGCTCCACCTGGTGGAACAGCCAGGTACTGCAGCTGATCTACGATACACTTACTGACATTCTCAACCTTCTTCTTCGTCTTTCTTATCAGTTAATACACTTTTAATCGATTCAAATGTTAATGGAAATTGATGAATGAACAGCCAATCAATAACGTCTCTAGTTTTAGGCTACGTCGTAATGGAAACGGAATTCCTGAATTGTTAGCGCCACCTTGTGCCTGCGTCAAGCTCCGGCAGTGGAAAGTCACCTTCTGTTACCCAAAAATCTATTTTTAGTCTAGTTTAGTAAGTTTATGTCTTACGGCTGGAGTTTGGAGACGAAATATTAGATTATAATTCAGGTTTATGTTGCACTTAAAGCTGCATTAACTGATTTTTGTTTCCTCGGACAAAGCCTGACTTTCACACATCCAATCTGCCATCGCTCCTTTGCCTTTGCAGATATGTTGACTTCACAAATGAGCCGATTGGTGGTGGACTGGTAGCACGTGTCAACGTTTTATTTTACATAAAGCCGCCTGGAAATGATCTGACGAAAGCCATGAAAACAAACAGGAAAGACGTCGACTGTAGGACCTGAGCGACGAGCTAAAAGGTGCTAAAGTGTTGCACAGGATGCACGGTTTGGCGGTTATCGTCACATATTCTCATGTGGTAGCGCCGCATGTTAATACAGAAATATCAATTAGCGCAGATGTAAGTGTCGCGCGTTCGTTTATAGATTCACAGCTGATCACATCACATGCTGCTGGTTGACGTGCACGGCCCCCGAGGGTGAACGCTAACACAGAGGAATGCTAACAAGGTGCCAGTGTCTCCAATGAGCTCACTCTGAGTTTAGCAATTAAATGGAGATATTCTGAACAAACTGGGGCAGCTCAAGCACCGACTCAGATGTAGAAAAAACAAAACCCGTGTTAGAGATGAAGTGATGTTAGCCGCATAACAACTGATGGAACCTCTTGGTGCCTTTCTGAAGGAGGCTCTTCCATTGAGGTGATCTATGAAACTCACCGCTGTGTTCTTTCATGTGGACCACACCCTGCAGTCGTTTTACTAAACCAGTGTTTGTTTTTTGAAAGAAAGAAAAAAAAAAAAAGAAGCAGAGATTAATACCAGTATCGTTTCTGTCTCTGTATTGGACACTGTCACAGATAACAGTTTGTGTTCGTAGGTATGGTGCATGCATCATTTTTCATTTTAAAGAAAAAAAACAGAAATGGCTCTTTTCGTTGTGCGATACTAACCATGCTGTACACACCAGATGTATTCTGAACCTTAAGGCAGACTGTGTAAATTGTCCATTCAGATGTTATTAATAAATATTTCTATACATAGCGCGGACTGCTTTGTGATCGGGGCCGCGTCGCTTCACACCTGAGCTGCGATTGAAGCACCTGTGAAGCGCTTGTGACACACTTTCTGTGAAAACCTTCAGCGATGGAAAAAAAAAAAGGCGAAACATCGTCACGTTCCTGAGTGTGTGTGTGGTTTATGTTCCTTTATTATCACCTCGGAGCCGCACTCATTAGACGACAGCTTTTTAAAGCAAAAACTAGACGTTAAAGTCGCATTTTCTGATAAATTATGAAGTCAACGCACTAAATTCAAACATGAATTCGTTCCTGTCTTTGGTGCTGCACAAAGAAGGAAGAAACATGACTTTTCTATTAACTAGATTCCATGTGTCGTATTGAGATTAATTTAATTTACTGTATGAATTAATACGACTTGGCACGTATAGCTAAGTACAATTAGTTGATTATTTACTGAAAGACGCTGCAACGTCGCCTTCGATTAACTGGACCAATCAATCTTCATTTTCCTCCAATAAAAGCAAAAGGATTCTTTCATTGATGTTGACAAACAGTGTGTATAAAGCAGCCAGCTTACATATTAAAGTACAAAACTGTAGAGTTAAAGTGACAACGTGACAGAAAAAAAAGGGATTATTTAAGAAACTCCAAAAGAAATCCAAGTTCTTAATCAAATCCCTTAAAACAAAAGTGAAAGAGCACAAAGCAGCTCCTTTGTTCTTGGTCGTGCAGCTTTTGATTTCAGTCTTAGCTGTGAATTTATCGTCATTCATTTCTGAGTTTGGTGAGTCTGTGAAACAAAATCAGGATTTTAACTGCAGACGAGCATCTTGGCTTAAAATCTCGTCTTAATGAGCTTCATTTCAGTCACTGCTTCATCCTCGTTCTGCTGTTTGACACCAGAAATAGACAAACATGCTCATAAGAACAGCTGTATTGGGAATTTATCTGTATTAAAATGCACTACGTGTGAGCACAGAGAGCAGGAGGGTCGTTGTTTTTGCGACTGAACAGATTACAAACCTCCTTTTTTGTCCTGGGATGATTTAAAGTTCCCCCAGACTAGTGTTGGGTCTTTGGAAACTTTAAGACTTTGCTTCTAAAACTGACTACGGATGACCAAATGCTGTGTCCTAATGCAACAATCATGCAGTGACACTAAAAAAAACATGCATCAACTCAAAATATGGGTGTCGAAGCTTTTTGTGCATCAATGCCATCGAGCCCCGACTTCTTTGCATCTTCTGGACGATGTGAAGGAACCACTGGTCTGTTCTTTGCACATCATTCATTAACTGTTGCTGGTTGGATCAGTCGGAACCACTTTTCCCATTTTCCAACACAGAACCAAGAGATTTTGTGAAAATCTTCTTGCCAGCTGACAAAAAGTATATCGGTTCCCTCGACCTTTCAGCTCGTCCAGCGGAACATCCCTACACCCTTAGCAGCGAGCTGGACATGTCTATTAAAGGGTGGTTTCTGTTTTCTGAAACTTCTTGTGCAGGTGTTTTATTTCCAGCCTCCTGGATCCACTCTGACCAGCAGCGACAATCATAAAGGTTCACGTTGTTTCAGAGCACCTCCAGGTCCTAAGTGTGTCTCTCTGTGTGGATCCAGCTGGTGAAGCAAACATCTAAACCTGACCTCAGCTTTCCATGGATTCGACCACTTGAATAAGACAAACGGCCGTCCTGAGCAGCGAACCGTCAGGCCGCCGCTGTCAAAGAGCTGCTCGGATGGTTGAGCAGGATGAAAAAACACAACGGCCTCTCTTCTCTTTTACCACATTAAGAGTGGGAGCAGCTGAATCACACAGGCTTCCTTCTCCTGCAACGCTCTGAATGCCTTCAAGGAAACGCCGTCCAGACATGAGTTTACCTTCCAATGTGGTAAAAAATAAAAAAAAAATAAAAAATCTCCCTGTTAACTACATATTGTACATTTATCAGTGAAATACGATGGATGACACTGGAGCAGTCTATGAACCAGACTTCCTCCAGACGAGTAAAATAAAAATCAAGCATCTGGAGCTGATGCTGTACGTTTTCTGGGGAAGATTTCCGACTCATTTAACTGTTTCAATAGAACACTTGAAGCAGCTGCTGGTGCTTTTACTTAAATATAAAAATAAATACAGATTTTTACATTCACATTTACACAGACGGTGTTTAAAGATGCAGGCGAGCTGCACATCCTC